ATGATTTAAGTTTCATATTGTGTAATTATAACCTAAACCGGACAAGTGCTGTCCGGATTTCACCTAAACCGGACAAGAAACGTCTGGGTTCATTTTAAATCACTTAAGACTCGGCCGATGTAATATCTAAATCGGCCAAGCTTCATCCGGATTACTCCCTAAACCGGTTATAGGTTATTCGATGTAAACCTAAACCGCTCAAAGCCACATCATGTGTTGTCCGGATTAGATCTCCGGACGGTTGACCGGATTACAAATCCGGCTGAAACTAGTTTTGATATTTCTTCTGATTTAATTTTGCCGTGAGAGAGATGAAATGGCGGTGTAACCGCGAGAGAGATGAAATGGCGGTGTAAGCGTGAGAGAAAATAGACAAGTATTTATATCTGTACAGGTTTAATTCTAAACTGTTAGTTTGGAAAATAAGTTGTTGTATGAGATTTATACACTCACTAGACCTTTTAGGTCTAACGCTCAGTTGTTGGACTAACCTGTTTTGCAGGTCATCATACCTCATAGGATAAAGGCAAGGGGAAAATTTAGAATAGATGAAATTTAGTTACTCATAAATGTATTGAAAAAAGTTTTTGTTAATCCATGTTTTGTAAACAATATTCCATTCTGTGTTATGAGTATGATTATGTGGATTATCTGTATGTGGAAAAATGTGGGTTGTTACACCAAATATGTCGGCACCAACTCGGTCAGGGGGCGAGAGGATTTCTATAAATATATAAATCAATATAAAATTTTAAACAAAGTTAACAAAGAAAAGTTGTCAAATATTAAAATTATAATCAATGAAACCAAACCTTGCCAATGGTGGATAGTGCACAACACTCTTCTCAATTCATCATCTTGATTCGTTTCCATCCAATAACCCTCGGGAAGGAAGGGTTATAACGAAAAAAGGGTTGCGTTCCAGCCTCCAAGATCCATATCTGGTAGGTTACGAAAAAATTGATTGTTAGACAATGTCAAATAATTACTAAATAAGTAATTTATTGTTGTAAATTCACCGACCTTGAAGGCATATATGAAACCGTATAGTGTATACTTCAAGGGCAATTGTGTCTGCGCCGCTCGAAAGGTGATCGATGTCGTTAAACGGTGGTGGATGACGATATATCGAAGAATGGTGGTCGTTTTTGGTCAGGATGGTCGGTGGGGATACTCCAAGCTCGGTTTTTCTAGAGAAAACGAGCGGTGGTGGGGACGGATAGTAAACTTATGGTCCCCCCACCACCGCCTATTTATAGAAAACGTTAAGTAATAAAACAAAATTCATCGTCAAATCGGCATCAAATCGACGTCATAGAGGCGTCATAACATTAAAAAACGCGAAACGCGGTCAAACTACGTAAATCATATATAATATCTGATTTTTTCTCCAAAAATCAGCTAAAAATAATTTTCTCGTAACCACAATTATTATTGCCTTATTTTATAACAAAAAACCATGAAATTTTTACTTAAATAGGTTAAAAAACACAGTTTATATATTGTTTCATTTTTATTAAAAACACCCCTTAATTGTCAAATCAAAAGCACTAAAAAACGAAATAGCGGTCAAATTTCGTAAATCAGATGTAATATCTGATTTACGAAGCCCAAATCAGATAAAAATAGTTTTTGCGTCTCCATAATTATAATGGTTTATTTTTAAACCTTTAACCATGAAATTTGGTTCTAAAAAAATTAAAAAATACAACTTAAATAGTGTATCAATTTTATTAAAAATAGTGAAAAAAAATTAGAAAAACAACCCCTTAAAGGCTGGATCGCCCCCAAGGGGTAAAAATGCTGACGTGGCTCGCCCTTGGGGAGTGATCAGTCCACGTGGCTCGCCCTGAGGGGTGGGGTCGGGAACGGATAACGAGAGTGCATATTAATATCTTCTTTTTAGGATTAAAGTGAGACCTACCAATTTTTTTTCCTTTAGAAATAGTACGGATCGCCCCTTGTATGGGGGGCGATCCGTGTGGATATTTTTGCAAAGCCTCTAAAACATGGTTATTTTGTTAGCCTAGGTTGTATAATTTGGTTAAAATAGTGATTTTCCCTTTAATTAATATATAATTATTAATAAATTATATTTTTTCTATAGTATGTTGTATATTTTAATATGTATTTTATAATATTTAATAATATTATTTTAAAAATATAAATATTAATAATAAATAAAATATTTTACATTCAGGCTAAAGTTTTTTTTTTCTTTTGTATTTTTACTTTCATATAGACATTACTATTTTTCTAATAATTATATAATTATAAAAATCGAACAAAAACATTGAGATTTGAGATATAAATAAAACATAAAAAGCATATAAATAAAACATAAAAAGCAGAAATTATATATAAATAAAATATAAAATAATTTGTAGTATATTTCACTTATTCTAGAATAACCATCTCGCTAGTTCCTAATAGCTTATTTCATCAAAGTTAACAAATGTTGATACATTTTAACAACTAAATCTAAGGAGTCTTCCTTTTTTTATCTGTTTTTTGTCTTTCGATTCTCTACAACAATATAATGAAAAATATATATATCGAAAAAAATGATCAAAAAAAGGGATATTAATAGCAGGGCCCAAAAAAATGATCAAAAAATCTTTTGATTCTTCGTCTTCTACAACAATACAAGTAGTTTTTTAAGTTAAAATAATTTAAGTAACTAATTTTCTAAAAACTTAATCATTTAATTATTCAAAAAAATGCAACGACTTAATCATTCAACATAAAATAAGTTTAACAACTTATTTAATAAAAAAAAGTTCAAAAAGTTAATAATTCTAAATGGAACAGTTCCTTTAATTTTCTGAACTTTTTTTTATTTAAATTCAATACAAATAGTTTTTATAAATCGCTCATCCATTAAAATAAATAATTAATCATAAAATTATTTTTAGATTAAACTATTTTATATAATTTATTTTATATAAAT